AGTTGTGACCCCATGACACTCATGAGCTCAACAGGATGTTGTGTGTGCACCAGCATGGCCAACAGGAGGCCCAAGGCACAGGGCCAGACTAGGCCATGGAAAGCCCTTACCTGCACTCATCAATGCTGCAGCCTGTTTATGTGAGCCCAGGGCTGGGGGTTGGAGACCAGATGACTGAGTCTCAGCCCTGCCCCTCAAATAAGCCCTGGGTAATGAAGGGTATCAGGTATCTCTCTGGACTTGTATCAGGTATCAAGGTTCCAGGCTTTTCTTTTCTTTTTATGTGCATTAGTGTTTTGCCTGCATGTATGTCTGTGTAATGATACCAGATCCCCTGGGACTGGAGCTACAGGCAGTTGTGAGCTGCCATGTGGGTGCTGGGAATTGAACCCTGGTCCTCTGGAAGAACAGCCAATTCCCTTAACCACTGAGCCATCTCTCCTGCCACCAAGCTTGTTATTTTCTAATGAACGGGAGACAAGACTATTTCAAGGTAGCTGTGAAGATTTAGTTCAAAGGAGCTAGTAGGAAGATGGGGGTTTGGTGCCTGCCTGCTGCATGAACTGGCTGAGGTACTGAAAGCTGTGCTGTCTTGTCTCAGGCCCTTCTCAGCATGATGGGCAGACAATGGGGCCCAGAAAGTCTACAGCCATCACCATGGGCAGGAGATGCCTGAAGCCTGGGGCCAAGGGCAGCATCCACAGTGGTCCCCGAGGTCAAGGATGGGGCCTGGACAGAGTGCTTCTGAGGAGCTGGGGCAGTGAAGTATGAAGAGGAGGGAGTTCGCTGGCAGTCAGAGTCCTCTGAACTCAGATGCCCACAGTGGACTGAGGGGGAGGGAGACGGAAATCGATAGCTGGTACGAACACCCACTAAGGACAGTGCAGAGAGAGGAATGAGCCTTGCAGCCTGGCTGCCCAAGACACGAATGCAGGGGCACAAGTGGCTCTGCTGCCCTGGGGCCGGGGCTTCAGGGGAGCATGGCCTCTCGAGTTGTCTCTGTCCGTCCCCTTTGGTCTGAGGAACCTTAAAGGCAGCCAGAGCTCAGAATGCTCTCTTCATCCTAGACCTGTGATCCCAGATAGACCCCTCAAGATCAAGGCTAGGTGCTGTGTGGCCTTGCCCACGCGAGGAAGGAACAAGGGTAGAGGCTGTGCCTGCGCAGTCCAAAGTTTTCTGAAAGGATGACTTAGAACGGGAGGGTTGAGCTTCGGGGCTTCTGTGGCCAGGTAACCCAGGGTTGTCCAGAACCAGTGTCCCATGCTTTAGCCACATGTTGTTTAGGAGCTATCCCCTAAGTCCCAGTTCAGGGGAGACCAGGCCATCTTGACATTCAACCCAGGAAGGGTCCTGTCTTGCCAGGACCCAGTAGCTCTGGTTTGGGGCAGTGTATGTGAGAAGACTGGCCCAGCGGAACATAGAACTGTGGCGTATCCCCTGGGGCAGGATGGATAAACGTGTCCTGCTGTAGCCCCTGGATTACTTCAACTTGCCTCCACACTCCCTCAAGGGACTGGCTACTCTTTGGCTATGGGCCCAAGTGACCCTCACTAAAGCCAGCCTGTCAGTACTTCAAAATCCCATCCCCTACCCCAGCTGGTCTAGCTTCTTACCATGTCCACAGCTACCTTCATGGCCTCCTGCAGCCCAAAGAGCTTCCCGGCCACCAGGTACACCCCGCTGGTCCACACAGCACAGGCCTCATGTACCCAGTGTTCCTGGGTGTCCCCACCAGGCTCTGCAGGGGCCTCTTTGCTGCATTCATGTTTACGGCTCTTGTCAGCTGGGGCCACCTCCTCACCCCCGTCCCCCTGACCATCACAGCAATAGCAACTCTGCAGCCGCCGCGACAGGCCCCGGGCACTGGTGCGCAGGGAGCCCTGCTTGGCGGGGTCAGCTGGGCCATCAGGCCTGGACAGCCTCCCCAGGGTTGTGGTGGTGGTGATGGTGGTGATGGTGCTGGCTGCACATTCCAGGCCTTTCAATGTTCTCTCAAGAGGCAGAGAGGTCTCCTCAAAGGCGCACTCCAGCCGCACCTTCTCCTTGAGTTTTGGTTTCTTTTTGGGGAGGCAGTGTTCAGGGTAGTAGGGGCCACAGAGGTCCCCAAGGTCCTTGAAGTTGGCCGGGTTTTGGCAGAGGCAGCAGACAAGGCAAGAGGTAATGAGGGCCTTGGATACCACAGGCCCCAGATGCATGGTGGAGGAGAGGGGCAGGGAGGGCCTGGGCTGCAGCACAGGGCCTCCAGGGAACGCGGTCAGAGAGGCCCCAGCTGGTTCTAAGGAGGAGGAGGAGGCAGCAGAGGAGGATGGCTTCCAGTGAGGCTTGGGCTCATCCCCTGGGGAGTTGACAACAGTGCAAATGGTGGTGTATGCGTCTCGCTTCTCCACCCGCACAAAGGGCGAGAAGGCTGGGGTGCGGCTGTCTGCCCTCTGCCTTTTACAAGAGGAAATGTATTTGAGTCGGATTTCAGGCTCTGCAGGATCCAGGGGCAGTACCTGCTGCTGCCGTCTCCGGGTGGCACGTCCCTTACAGGGTGAAGCATGGGTGGTCTTAGCCCGGCCACGGCTGAGGCGCTTCCGCTTTGAATAGCTGCTATAGCTGGCTTGACCTGGCTGCTTCTGTGCCCTTGTCTGGGGCTGCTGGGGCCGGCCTTCAGGGGGCTGGGAGGCCAGTCCCAGCTCCTCTGTCTTTGGCTTCTTGCCTCCTCCACTGGAGCTGTCCTCACCTCCACCCTGAGTGCTGCTGGCCCTGTCATGGGTTGCAAGGATCAGAGTTTGGCCAGGACAGGGCCGCTTTTCCAACGGGCCTTTAGAGGGTCCCAAGGCCCCAGTCCTGCTTTTCCGGCTCCTTTTCTTCGGTGCCCGAGCAGTCCCTAGGGATGGCAGAGTCTCTGGGGACATGAAGGCCTCAGCTTTAGGACAGTCAGCAGTAGAGGACAGTTTCTTACTACTCAAGAGTTTGCCTTTTAGGGACCTGCTGGCTGGATTTCTGCACAATGTGTCAGCTCCTGAAGCTGCTGGTAGCATCTGCCCAGGGCCCATTCCTCCTAGGCCCTCTTCTGCCCCAGCTGGGCTGCCCCCTGTCTGTTTCTCAGGCAGGGCTGGGCTCCGGGGTGTCCCAGGAGGAGCCCCTGCTACTCTGCATGCAAGTTTTTTGAGACCAGGTGAGGTGATCTTCTGCACTATGGCCTCCAGCTTGAGGCCACGGCCCTTTCGGGGTGGCAGCACCTTGGTCCTCACAGCACTGGGCAGGGATGATGGTGTAGCCAACCCCACGCACACGGCAGGTGGCTCCAGGGATGGGGGTGGGGGTGGCTCCCCACTGCCTCTGGGCCTGGCCCTCTGGGGTGAGGCCATCCTCCTCAAGAGACCAGGAGAGCTCTCCGGCCTCTCCTCCCTCCCGTCTGCCCCACTCCCACTGCTGCTGCGAAGGATGAGGCTTCGCTTTTTGGTGGGGACAGGAGCCATGAAAGCTGACTTCCTTTTGAGTGCATGGAGAGGCCGATCTGAAAGCTTGCTCCCTGTACCAGGCTTGGGTACTTTGACCCGCTGGCTCACCCAGCCTTCCTTCTGGGGCCCACTGGAGACCTTGAATGCAGTGGGTAAGTGGTTTGTGGCAGGGAGTTTCTTGGTGGCACGACACTCTGGGATCCGGCTCTCTGAGGGCCGCCGCCGTTTGGCATGGAAGACCTGCTGGGGTTTGGTGCGAGACCGAAGGACCATGGAACGCTGGTCTTTGCCAGGGATGCTGGGAGAGTCTGGCTCCTTCGTCTTGGAGCCCATGGGGCTACTGTCCGAGGCAACAGGCAGGGCAGCAGGGTTGCTGGGGCTGGATGCAGCCTTGGGTGATGGTTTTCCTACCCGCTTGCCAGACTTGAAGGCAGCTCGCTGTTTGCCTCCCAGTTTGTCAGGAGGTGTGGGGGTAGTGGTCAGGCCTGGAGGTCCAGGAGTTTGGGGCTCACTCAGAGCTGTAAGAGAGCGAGTGCACATTCTGGGGAGCCCTTCTGATAGCCCCCGACCTGGGGCTCCAGCCCCTTCTGCCTGTGCCTGGGGGGGTCCTGTGCAGGACTCTGGGAGCAAGAGGTCTTTGGGAAGTGCTGGTACCCTGCACGGAGAGTCTTCAGCCTCAGGCAGCCCTCGCTGTACCCGCCGGCTCCGTAAACTTTTACCCCGTGGCACAGGCTCTTTCTTCGCAATGGGCACCTCAGGCACAGCAGGCTTGTTAGGCTTTGGGGCCAGGGAGCCTTCTGAAGTGGTGGAACTACCTGGGGCTCTCTCCATCTCTGGCCCATCTTCTCCTGGCTTCATATGTGACAGTGAAGACTCAAACCAGCTCTGGACCTTGGATTCGGCACCCACAGAGGGGCCCAGCAGGACAGCAGGCTCCCCAGAGAGGTGACATGGGGAAGCCCAACCAGCCTTGGTGTCCAGCACCTCCTCTGCTTCCTCCTTGGTGCAAATCAGCGGAGCCTTGGGGGACAATGGGTCCTGCAGGCTAGGCCTCTGCTCAGGGCTACCCAACAGTTCACACAAGGAAGAGTACTCCTCTTCGGCCTCCAGGTCCTCCTTTCTGCCAGGGGGTGGCAACAGTGGCAGGTCCCCAAAGTCAGTGGAGGAACAGCAATGCTGGCTGTCTCCCAGCCACTGGTCAGCTTTGCCCACCTCAGGGCACTGCAGCAACCCACCTACTTCCTCCTTCACTCCATCTGCCTCCTGCTGTTTGAAGTCCCCAGACAGAGTAGCTGCTTGTTTCCCAATGGCATGGTCTTCCTGGAAGCCCAAGCAGGCAGAGGCCTCATGTGCATCTGCCTTGCCCACATTGTCTGAGGCTTTTACACCCTGCTCCAAGCTCTTGGTGAGCTCACCAGGGTGGAGGCCCCAGCGGGGACAAGCATCACCCAGGTTCTCCTCTGGCCAGGCAAAGGGATTGGCACTGTCCACCGAGCTGGCAGTGGTTGTGTCTGGAAAGCAGTCAAATGCTGCCGGGGTAGGGTCTGGAGTGGCAGCTCCAAGCAAAGGCTTGGTGCCAAAGGACAGGGGACTGGTTGTCTTCTTCGGGTCAGTGGTGGCAAAGGCCACAGAAGGGTCTTCAAACAGTCCTGGGCTGAAGTCCTTGGTGCTACCACCCTTGTCCAGCTGCAAGGGCTCAGGTAGGGTTTCTGGTTCCCCTGACTGTGACCATGAAGTCTTGGCCACAGTGTCTAGGCAGGTGCTGTGGTTCTCCAGTGAGAAGGGAGGTTTACCATTGTCCTTGGGCAGGCTGGAAGCCTCAGCCCAGGCCTTGTCAGCCTTCTCAACGATGGCTTCCTGAAGCCCCAGGATCTCAGAGGCCAGATCTTCCTGTGCCAGGGCACTGAGCAGCAGCCGTGGGCAGTCCCGCTCGCCGGCCACAAATTTGGAGAAGCTATCCAGTGGCAGGGTACTGTGCAGGCTCTGGAAAGAGTCGTCAGACTTGGTGGACATGTCGTCAGGTGAGGTCACAGAACAGGTGGACACTGATTCAGGCTTAGCCTTGGAGTTGTTGTTGACCCTGGCAGGACTGCCACGGGCCTGGCTGCAGTAGAGGAAGCTGCGCTCTAGTGGGTCCTCGGAGCCACTCAGGTAGTCAGTGTCTTGTGGCTCAGCATGAGTGGATTGGGGTGTGCTGCTTGGCGGCTCAGACAGTGGTGTGCCTGCTGGCTCAGCTGAGTAGCCACTGCCCTCGGGGCTACAGTGCTGGCTCTTGTGCTGCTCTGGAGTCCTAGACACAAGGCTCTTAACCCCCTTCTTCTGTGGCATGGCAGCTTTGGACAGCAAGAGCTGCTGCACAGTGTTGGAGATGTTTTCCACCTGTGAGGTAAGTGCTGTGAGGCTCTGCAGGCTGAGGTCCGACAGCAAGTTGTCGGGAAGCTTCTCCTTTTGCAGGGGCTTGCAGTTGCTGACCTGGGGGTCCACAGAACTGGCAGCATCTGTTGGGGATGGATTGAGCAAGGGCATAAAGTGGCTGTGGTCTGTGATGCCAGTGGGGAAGGCCCCAGTGCTAAGCGGCTGCTGGCTATAGGGGAAGTTCTCCAGATTGGGCATCAGTGGTGATGGGGTGGAGCTATAGGAAGGGGAGCGACCCACAGAACGTGCAGGGGAGTGGCTGGAGCTAGGGCTGAAGGTCTGGTAATACTGTTCTGGAGTCCTGACAGCTGTGTCTGGTGGACAGTAGCCCTGGCCTTGCTGTCCATAGTGTTGGTACTTGGCGAGGTTCTGGTAGTGGAGAGTTTCCTGGGTGTGGTGCCGGCCTTGAAGTGCTTGCTGCTGCTGCTCATAGCCAAGGCGGCCTGATTGGTAAGCGTGAAGATTCTGGACCCGCTGCCCTGGGGCCAGGCTGGCATTGGCACTCATTGGCCTGTCGTGAGGCTGGGCAGATGGTGCTGTGCAACTCTTGTATGAGTGCGCCCCCTGCCCACTGCCCTGCACTGCTGGGGCGAAGGTGGAAGAGGCAGGGAAGGACTGGGAATGCTTGGGGAAGTGGCTGCTCTGGGGGAAGGGCAGTCGTGAGGCAAGGTCACTCTGTGGTTTCTGCCTTTGGAGTTTGGGGTAAGCCAGGGGCTGCTGAGGCTGTGGTGGGGGGGCATGCAGGCTCAGAGTCCGGAAGGGGAGTTGGGGGCCCTGCTCAGGGTACTGCCTGTTTGGGGGCACCACCGTCTTCTTCATCAAGTTCTCCTCATACTTGCTCACTGCTCCTGGCAAAGGCTGCGGCTGGGGAGGTGGTGGCTGTGGGCCCCCCCAGGTCTGAAGACTTTCCTCCCCAGAGAAGAGCCCTGGGGAGGGA